TTATTCTAATATTTAAAAAATCATATTTACATTGCTGGTAGGTTACCATTGCACAAATTAACGAACTCTCTACATTTAAAAAATAAAAATTATAAAAGTTTAGTTCTAAACTTTTTAGCACTTCCCTGCAGTTTTATCAACTAAATAGCTTAATCGCTCAAGAGCTACATTATCTTTCTCAACAAGGAGCTGGTAACATCAGTTTCTACAGGAATTAAAGCCACAGATTCACTGTTAAATAGAGAAACGCGGCAAAACGGTGGTAATTCATACATACACAGCCTCTCTCTCTCATAAATGAACACTTGATGAATTGTCTGAGAATAGACTTGAAGTGGAGATCGCTAAACTGCAAGCTTACCAGTGTTTTCAGAAAGCAAGCGCGTTTATCCACAGTGGAGAGAGAGCGCGAGCACATGGTTGCCAGGTTGACAAAGATAAGTAGCACACTTAGCAGATATTTCCGTATTGCGCAAGTGTGAAGCTCTGTTTCGGGAATTACGTCTCTTCATATCAGGCAACCCCGGTTGTGTTCCTCTGCGGCCAGATTAAACCTGGTTGTAGCCTATATATTATGTGCTATTCATTATTTTTTAGAAACCTCGCACTTTTCTACTCAATTTTAAACGTTGTTCTTGTATTTAAATTAAGCGCGGTCCACTGCTGCACACGTGCCACAATACAGTGACAGCTGTATCGATACTCGTATCGTCAAATCTGTGACAATACATCGTCGTATCGATGTATCGAACACAGCACTAGTGTGCGTACAGAGTACATGACATAAATATTGTCATTAGGATAGTGGTTATCATTATAGGTGCGCCTTGAGTGTTTTTGCACAAATTAGTTGGTCCACAAGGTGGCAACAATATCTAGGGCTTTTTCACGATTAAAAAACAAACAAACAGAAGAGACGAACCGATAAACTACTGGAGACGCTAGAAGAATAGACATTCACGTTTATGAGCACTTGTGTGGGTTTAGAGATACACGCAATTCTAGTTTAAATGAGTAAAAAGACATTTTTCTCAAAACTCATCAGGACAAAGATGAGACTTTCTAGTGCGTTGAATCCTTGTGTTTGCACATGCTCAAATCAAATGAAGTATGCTTAAAAAGGCTACGTGTTCGGCTAAGCTTTCATGTCAAAACTGAAGTATACTTTGGGCTTTTTTGGCGTGTGCGTACAGAGTACATGATATAAATATTGTCATTAGGATAGTGGTTATCATTATAGGTGCGCCTTGAGTGTTTTTGCACAAATTAGTTGGTCCACAAGGTGGCAACAATATCTAGGGCTTTTTCACGGTTAAAAAACAAACAAACAGAAGAGACGAACCGATAAACTACTGGAGACGCTAGAAGAATAGACATTCACGTTTATGAGCACTTGTGTGGGTTTAGAGATACACGCAATTCTAGTTTAAATGAGTAAAAAGACATTTTTCTCAAAACTCATCAGGACAAAGATGAGACTTTCTAGTGCGTTGAATCCTTGTGTTTGCACATGCTCAAATCAAATGAAGTATGCTTAAAAAGGCTACGTGTTCGGCTAAGCTTTCATGTCAAAACTGAAGTATACTTTGGGCTTTTTTGGCTTTTTGCTGGGGTTTTCCAGGACCAGGATTAAGAACCACCGCAATACGATTAGAAAATAATAACCATGAACAACTACAGGCACTAAAAGCCTCTGACTGACATGAACACACAGGCTAGTAAAAATCCAAAACCCACTCTGAGATTTCAAAGAAATAACTGGCTGATTAAGCTCACGTCAAACATTGGCAACGAGAACTGAGCTCAGTCAAGGTCTGCCAATGCATTCCCTCTGTGCACGGCACATATCAGACTTAAAAATCCCAAACACACAAAAGAAAACATATTATTAAGCTCTGGGCAATATTATTGTCTCATTAATAAATTAAATTGGCTGCTAGACCACTAAAAAAAACAAAAATGCAAAAGCAGCACAAAATATAACCTGAAGCTATCAAAACGGAAGCATTAAGTAATTATTTATCATTTAATCAACACAATACGTTACTGATAAATGAATTCCGATGGTAAGAACTAGTGCTGGGCAGTATGACCAAAAATTTATATCACGGTATTTTTCAAAATTATACCGGTTTCACGGTACAAGACGGTATTTTTTTTCATGCATGACCGGGTGTTAACCATATTTTCTACTGATTGAGAGTGGAAATACTGCAGTATATTGACTTAGAATGCCCTATTTTACTGTCATGTTGAGTGAATATTGTCAAAAAATACCACACTAAATAGTGCCTAAACACGACCCCTTTTAATACATGTTAACCAGGAGTCACTCTCATTTATAATCGCGGCATCGTCTGATAAAATCAACATGCATCTACACTAAAGAGCGGCTATGCGGTTGTTTTGGCTATATTACTTTTTTGTCTCATAAGTGACTAAAAAAAAAACAACAAAAAAAGTGCATGTGATATTAACAGACGAACCATGCTCATATTTATAATTCCAAACAATCAGTAAGCGACAGGTGCTAGGAAACGCTGTTTTGTACTCATTTATTGACGAGTCGGCTGCGGTGCGGC